AGGGGTGTCCCTGATAGTTTAAGTCATGCACCAAGTCATATCATCATCATTATGTTTCCTTGTTATTCGAAACAGCTTTAACAGGTGAAAACTAAACAGTTAGTAACGTGTGGTGTCCCGTACGTTAAGTACAGGTATTGATATGGGTATAGCCACATGGGTTATCACTTCATGTTCTTTTGTTAGATTCACTCCTCAGCTTTTGCTGAGCGTGTAGTTGTTTTTGCTACACGCAGGTAGACATGACGGAGCAGGTGCCAACCCTGGAGAGCGGTGACGATGGGGAGACGGGCGGCGCACGGACGAACTCTTAATTACTTTCAGTAACTTCGTTAACCAATTGGGCATGAACCCACCCTTGTCGTTATTTAATTTGGACTGAACTTATTTAATTACTTCCGCAATTACTCTGCACTTTCATTACACACGTTTTGGGATTAGCTCCCTGGCATTTATTCCTCTAAATAGAACCCAACCGTTTTCTTATTAAATAATCATTGATGTTTTCGTAACGGATGGTTCTCGGACTGTCCATGTAACCCTACCGGTCAGTTGGGTCGCGGGTGAACCGGGTCCACGGAAGGCGGGTGTTACAATTTGGTATCAGAGAGGTTCGATTTTTGAAAAAAAAACACAACTTGTCGTCAAAAGTCCACAGCCGCATCTCCCACCGCATCACTCCCAGGGAAAGGTACACCGTTATTTAGATCACATGTATGTCATATTTTAACTAGTTCTGATTTAAATTATTCCTTTAGAGAATGAGTCAAGCAGCTGGCAATGACGGACAGGCGGGTGAACCGGGTCCACGGAAGGCGGGTGTTACAGGAACATTTTTTAAGTCTCAAATCAATCTTCCTATGCATAACCCAATCTCGTTTGCCATTATCAAAAAGGGGGAAATTGTTGAAACACGGGCTTGTCACGTTTTCGTACTAAAGCCGTGTTCGTTTCTGTAACAGGTTTTGATAATGCCAAACCGCCGTGATCAAGACAAACATTGAATATACAAGGCACAGAACGAAGATAAAGAACAAGAGCCAAAAGAGACCAAGAACGAAGACCGCAGTCTTTAGTATTGTTGAGTCGGTCATAATTGTGATCAAGACCGACCCAACCCTCACGCATTGGCTCTTTAGGCTAAAATCTTTCATTGCATTTCTTACATCATAAAAATGTTTTTCAAACTTGTTTAAGTCATTAAAAACACTTGGTGTTCGCTCAAACCAAAAACCAAGCTATTCAGCGTTCGGCTTTCAGAAACCGGCGTTCGGCTTTCAGTTATCGGCATTGGTTTTTGGCGTCCGAACCAACCAAGTGGTTTTCAAAATTTTATGATTGGTTTTCACTCTTTGACATTTTTAAACAGTTCTCTAAGAAAAACACTTTGAAAACCACCTTTCATTTTTGGTCGTTTGGCAAAAACCACACTGAACGGTACAAACTTGGCTAGCCGCGGTTTTTACTTAAATGAAGTGGTTTTCGAGTCTTTTTGTGTGGGAATTTTTTTTAATGCGTTTAAACGGTTCTCCAATCAAAACATCATGAAAACCACCTTTCGGTTTTATCTTTTGGTAAAAACCACCCGTGTACGGCGTTGACTTGGTCAACCGTGGTTTTTACCTTAACGATGTGGTTTTCAACTTACAAAGCTTTTTTTGACATCACAATACATTAAATAAGTGTTTTAAATACTTAGTTTTTACTTTGGAGAACTTTGCATTTTTCGGTCGGGTTTCAGCGCCGGTCGGCTAGGCCATGGTTCTGGGCTAGCCATCTACCCAGCGATGGTAGATATCACCCAGCCATGGGTAAGTGATTCCGGGATTCTAGAATCATGCCACCCAGCGATGGGAGATATTACCCAGCGATGGGTAAGCAGCCTTCAGCCCAATTGAATTCCAGAACCATGCCAAACAGCGATGGGAAGCTCTACACATCGCTGTTCAAGCCTTGGTCCAACATTATCACAAGGCAGAATGCCCTTACCCAGCGATGGGAGATATTACCCATCCATGGGTAAGTGACTTCCTAGCGATGGGAGGATATTACCCAGCCATGGGAAGGCATGACCGTTGGAAGTCATTTAAGGTTGATTTTTTCCTTGTTTGGAAGTCAACCTCCCACCTAGCGATGGGAAGCTTGTACCCATCGATGGGTAGGTGACCGTTGGCTTCAAAACTGAAGGAAAATTGGCTTACCAGCGATGGTTGAGTCTAAACATCGATGGGAAGCCAATATCCTGCAGATCCCAAATTTATTCAATCCCATAAATCAAGCCAATCACCCCTTTAATGCATTGGTCCGTTAGAGCCTATTTTGGCACTATAAAAAGAGGTGTTTGGGTCTGCTTTACACATCAATTCACTTCACAATATTCATACTTTCATTGCATTCAAATAACATCATTTTCCATAGCTTTCTAGAGCCAAATTGTGTGAAGTTTGAGTTGTTCTTGAGCGTATATATTTTACTCAATATCCACTCTAAAAGAGAGTATTTGTTCTTGAGTGTCTTAGTGTTGTATACACGTTAAGGGAAGCCTGTTTCCCTTTGGTTGTACGAAGGAAAGGCATTTTCCTTCAGGTTGAAGTCTTGGAGTGCGGTATCTCTGAGCAAGTGTTGTTGAGGCTCGTGGGACTCGAGTTCTTAGGTTGTAACAGTTTGTTAAGCACCTGTAAGCTTAACGGAAGTAGTGTAGCTCGAGAGAGTCTCTCGGAAGATTAAATTAGCCACACGTTGTGGTGAACCAGTATAAATCTTGGTGTGCTCCCTTTACGCTTTCTACGCACTTTACTTTTCACGTTCTTAATTTTTATTCCTGCGATTTCTACGATCAAACGTTATTCACCCCCCCTCTAGCGTTGGTCACTTTTTCTAACAAAAGAGTATTGAAATGTTGAAGAATTGTGTGTAAAATGAGATATTTGGGTGCCATTTTATAGCTCAAAATGGGATAAACCCGTTGCTAAAATTTCCAACAAGATGAAGACAAATTTTTCAGAGACACAGGGTGATAGTCGATTCTCAAAGCTTGATAATCGATTATCCAAAGATTCTCTATCCAAAAATTTAAAATTCTATCCATTGGAGGACAACGGTAACCCAGATAATCGATTGTCAACAATTGATAATCGACTATTGGTCCTCTCAGAAGATTCTGGGTTTTGGCTGCACAGACTGATAATCGATTATTGCAAATGTGATAATCGACTATTGCTTGCTTCAGAACTTTGGAGTTCAAAGCTGCAGAGGCAGATAATCGATTTTCACCAAAGTGATAATCGATTATCATCTAGCTTAAGTCTAGCAAGCTCAAACCCGTTTTGAAAAACCGAGGTCCAAAAATGAAGTGTTCCCAAAAGTAAAAACGAAGTTTGAAAAACATTGTATATGGTATAAAATAGTGAAAACAAGACTTGTTCGGTAAAAACCAAGTCTCCAAGGTCGTACATCACGTGCGTACGGTTTTGACCGTTTTCACGTGTTAGACCGATTGACCAAGATACAAAAGTGGTTTTTATAAAATAATTATTTGGGAACATTTTAAAAATGCTAAGAGGTAAAAAAAAGTTTTAAAATATTGAAAACCACGGAATTGGTTCGGGCGCCAAAAACCGAACGCCGAAAGCCAAACGCCGAACGCCGACCTAGGTGGTTTAGGTTCCAAGCAAGGACCAGGGATTTTAACAATAAAAAATCATAAAAAATATTTATTTTGATGCACAAAAATATTTTATGATTTGTAAAAATTGTTTTGACTTTTTGAGAACCGAGACGTGAATTTATTGTCAGTTTTGATCACAAAAGACCGACTCGACTAAGTCTTCAATTCTTGATCTTGTTCTTGAGTCTTTTTGGTCTTGTTCCAAGCCATTCTTCACGCCTTGAGTTATTCAACGAAACTCTTCATATCCACGGCGGTTTGGCAATTATCAAAACCTGTCAGAAATGAACACGACTTTAGTTTATCGTACAAAGTGTGTTCCAACACGATTGCCAAGCACAGAACATAACCTGATCATCAATGTGAGAGTCCCAAGAAGCATGCTTCTAAATTTCAAAAAAGAAGTTAGACGAGACATGTTAGATAATATTTTAAACAAAATACAAAATATAGAAAGCATACATTTGATATTCATATCTAACCAAAATTTACATGAAACTCTCTCCAGTAAAAATCAACTATCGCGTCACTTAGGCTTTTCCATCTACCCCCTATTGGATCGAGCCTCCGCTAGAATGTGGAACAAATGATCCGAGCTCCCTCCTCTGTGAAGAGGACACTGCATGATATTATAATTACAACATTATAATATATATTATAATTGTGTATATATGCAAATAATAAGATATATATATATAGAATCACCTGCCAGAGCGATCAAAGTATGCTACGCTTGGTCCATGGTCCATGGCATCGTCATGGTTGTGCTCCATTGACTCGTCTAACTCCATGCTCTCATCATCGCGCATCCTAGACTCATCAGTGGAATGTGTAAACCCGCCAGAAGAGGTGCTAGTAACATTCGTTTCGTGAGGGCCAATGGGCGGTCTGACAGTGGTGCTAGATGATGCCCTCGCTGATGCGCTGCCTAAGGCGCTAGCTGATGCACTCCCTGATGCGCTGGCTGATGTGCCGCCTGATCTACGACCACCAAGGA